CAAAGCTGGCGCGAGCAGCGCGCGCTCTGCGCCTGCGCACTGAGGCAGGAGCACACAAGCGGAGGGAGAGAACTTCACTAGGCCGCTCTTTTGAGGTAAATTCAAGCTTATTTCCGGCCTCGAGCCTCCTCGCACTCAACACACAAACCTATGAATGTCCTAGCTCTGCCGTTGAAAGGTCGCCCAAGGCAAAAAGTGTCTGTGGCGGGCGTAAAAGCCGCCTGAAAGACCGTTGGGTGAGCGGGCTGGATCAATGGCTGCGAGAGGCATGTTGTGAGGAGCGGCATCAGCTGGCCCGGCCTCTGCACCGGTCTCGGGCCTCAGGCTCTCTCGGACTGTGGGGGCTTCGGGGCCTTGGGGCTTAGGGCTCCGGGCCTCGGGGTTGTAGGGCGCCAGGCATCCGAGTTCTTGGGTTTTAGAGCTGAGGGCCCTCGGGCTTCATTACCTTGGGGATCAGAGGCTTAGGACTCAAGGACTAGGGACTCTCAGGGCTGCCGGAATCGCTCCTGCGCCAGGGGATACTCGGGGAATAGGGAGAATGAGAGCTTATGAAGAATGTATATATTTGATATGTTGAGGGATTAATGATTATTATATATGTCAAAACAGAATATTGAGGCTTTTTTGTAAAAAGAGACTAGGAAATTGCATGAATGAATTGATAAAAAAAAAATGTATGAAACTTTATTGCACCAAAGACCTTATGTAGGGTAATTTAGCAAAATCTTGAGTATCCGATCGAGACGATTTTAGCATCTGTGGATTCCATTCACTCTATTATTGAGATTTGAGAGCAATGCACCCACCAAAGATGTAAGTTGCAAAACCAGGGTATCATGTGAACTCAGAAGTCCAAACTTAGCTGTTCCTGCCTTCTATTTATTCCCTACATAAGGAAGAGCAAGCCCCCTGTATCGTACTTGATTGGCACCTTATGTCAGCTTTAGAAAATACAACATTAAGAACTGGCTCTGTGAGGGTGTTGTGGACTTGTTGTGTAAATAGGCAGCAGCGGTGGAATATGTTATTGAGAGCGACTTAGAGATAAAGGGAAATAACACTACCATCTTGTAGAGCATAACATAAAGAGTAAGGAAAAACGTAGTTTAAGCAGCAGCAGCAGCATATTTACTGGTAAGTGATGAAAATGTTCATTGCATAACAATGCTCAGACAGCCACAGTTCTTGATGTATGTTTTCTATAAGTTGGGGGGAGGGGGCTTCCTCCCTGTCTAGGCAATAAGTAGAAGGTAGGAAAGGTTGGGTTTGGATTTCGGGTTTGCATGGTTATAGAACTTTGTGTCTGGAGGTTGTGTCACTCTCAGTAACAAAAAACAGTAATTGATTCTGTGTATATTCATATCTTTCTCTTGTGCATTTTATACCCTCCTGTGCACTTGGGGCCAGGATTATTGCTAATGGGGATTCTGGTGTAATTTAGATCTATGTGGATAGTAGAGAGAGAGAGAGAGGAATCCATCAACACCAAAATTGTTGTATTCATGTCAGGCCTTTTGTAACCCACAACTCGAGACTGTATGAACAAACCTTTTTTAGGCCTTTTATTTGGGTAGACAAGCAGCATTTGTCATTCCTTGGGTGTTAGGAATAATTTTGTATTGCATTGATTGTTAAGATTATGGATGGCTGAAAGAGATGATGGGGAGAAGAAAAACAGAATTAGCTGTACAATTTTTATTTCAAGGTAAAGTACAGAAGGAAAATGGTATAAGAGGAAACTCAGTTAATCTTTACAGTATGGACATGCTAAGCAAGAGCAAATTGAAGATATTCTTGTTTAGGACAAAAAGTTGCAGTTGTCAGTACAAAAAATAATCTGCAGACATGCAGTAATACCACAAATAAAGGATGAAGATATTTGCTCATAGCCCAAGTTCCACTTAGTGCTCGCAAGATTCAGCTCTATCTTACTGTGCATACTGAGGTGAAGACAATATTTACCATGGGGTTATTGGGGGCAGAGACCACCATCAACCATCCCTTCAGGCAGTATCCAAAGGGCATGCCCAGTTGTGAAGTGGGGTTTGGGACTTAGTCTCTGGCAAGTGTCTGTTCTGTAAAGAATTACCAGAAACTCATTTTGTTTCCTGTTTTAACAATCTTAGCCATGTGGGAAGTAAAGATATAACAGACAAACATCAGTGTTTAAGATGAAATAGAAATAGTAAATAGTTAAAGGACACTTGCACATATCACCAGCCTTGTGCAGATTGATATGACCTTTGAGCCTCCAGCAAAGGCCAACAGAATTTGTAAACCTTTTTGACAATTTACCTTCAGATAAGAACTAGTCGAAGCCCTAAGTTGCTATAATGTTTGCAATTATATCTTGTTTGAAGGTCACATTTATTCATTCACATGGATGCTGCTTTCAGATATGCTAGTTGATGCCATGAACTTCATCTCCTCTTTCAAATATCTGACAGCTGTCAGCAATATGGATAGAGATGCTATCAGTTAGTATTGCCGTCATGAGCAAGGATTTCCAACTTGCACTCTAATTCATTGTCCAGTGCTCTTGTTTGTTCTTGGATAATTTGAATGTTAACATATTTTAGTAATTACTTGATCTTCTCAAAGTACTGACAGTGATGCTTGATTATTAATTGTTTGGGTTAAGATATACTGCTTTGATTCAAAAGCCCAATACAGTTTTTTATTTTTTTTCTAATCGTATTGTAATTTCGCAAGTGCTATAAAAGTTTTTGTTAGCTTCATTGTTTACTATTTATGTTTTTGAAGGATTTACTAGGCCGAGAAATATGTTGCTCTTGCTTTACAAAGTATAACTGTTTACATGAAAGAATGAATGGAATTATCAGGGACAATTTTTATTTTGAATATTATCAACTTCTAAAGCTTTCCAACAGTTATTCACTATTTGTCATCTTATAATTGCTCATAGAAAAATGTGATCCTGTTTCAGGTTAGGTGGGCTGGTGGGCTGTCAAGAAGTGTGCAAGGTGTGGCATGTTCCCCCATCTCTTGTGAGGACCTCCCTGCGGTGACACGCGCCATCGTAATTAATTCCACGCACAGCTCCATCATCATCCTTTTGGGGTCCGATCACGCAACCAATTAGTTGTAATCATGTATCATCAACCTCCACCAAACGTCGATTCCTCTAGCAATGTTGAGGTGAGTGCTGTAGGGTTATGGTATTCATTGACTTTGTTAAATATTTGTTTTTAATAGTTAATCTTATAGGGAAGTAGTAAATGAAATGTAAAGGAAATTGTTATTGATAATGGGTTAAGGAACAGTGTATTTTTGTATTTATTTTATTATATATTTATAATTTTTTTTTTTTTTACTTATTATTATTATTATTATTATTATTTTTTTTTTTTTTTTCCCCCATGTGCAGTAGCATGATGTCTTGAAAGTCTTGTGTTTATTGAAATAAATTTTGCTAAGTCTCTCCTCTTTATTATTTTTTGTATAGCAATAGCATTTCTGTATATGTATTTGGGACATACTTCACTTATACAATGAAAGAGTAGCTTCTGAATGTAGAAAATTCCTTTACTTGCAGGGCATGTCAGGAGCTCTGCCCTCCAAAACCCCTGTTTCACTTCTCCAAGAGTTGTGTATGCGCAGAGGAATCTCCCCCAAGTATGACCTTCTGCAGATAGAGGGAGCAGTTCATGAACCAACTTTTGTGTACAGAGTCACTGTGGGGGAGTTTGCAGGTATGATATTTGATTTTGTGTGTGTTCTTTAATTATGCTGTATTATAATTTTTTAAAAAGTTTTGATTCATAAGGCTTGGTTACACATTTAATTTTAGATGAAGAATTAAGGGAACCTGGTCATTTTTTAGAATTGCCAAATGATCCGAATCACCACCAAAAGTTTATGGTATATTAGTTAGGTTAAGATACACCTTAGGTAAACTTAGGTAACTTTTGGAGTTAGGAAAGAAAATCCTGGATCCGAACCATCGTCTGCATCGCTACCAAAGTGTTATCGGCATCTAAGTTAGGTTAAAACATACCTGTGGTAAAAATCTCATTTAAATGTGTTCATAACTTTCAGAAATATTAGACAACATAAACAAACAAACAAATAAACAAACAAACAAACAGATTTAAGAATTTAAATAAACAAAAGGTCATGGTATACACGGAAATCATTTGTATATCATTAAAAACTTTATATACATATTTTTTACACCGCCCTGTAATTGTATATTGTTATTTCATAGCAGTTAGTGTGAAAGTTGGCTGTGTCTTCCTGTAGAGTTACAACATAAGCCTGCCTGCCGAGAAAAAAAAAATTGTGAGAAATGGCCAGGTATCGAAGGGGTAGCATCGGACTCGAGAAAGATCACTTTATCAACCTATATTATACGTTGTAAAACCCTATTAGAGCAGCAATTAAGGTAAATAATACATAAATATATCATATACAACTATTTCGTACATGATTTCTTATTTATAATGTAAAAAAAAAAATAATATGAAGAGGGAAAACAATCGCGATATTTGGGTCCTTCACATTTTTATGTGTAGCACATGCATATTCAGTCTGATTTTAACATATTATGGCTCATTTTGTAGCTGAATGATATATCTATTATATGCTGCAATGAGGATTTGCAGTATTTTCATGTGCTGCTTATAAAAGTGACATATTTTCCAAATCCCCTTTTAGGGTGTTGAAATAGTCACCTTTGTAAAATATTCACTCTCCAAAAAATAAGGTCGACTTCTAAAAATTGGCTTCCGCATATTATAGTAGAAATGTTCTATTCAGATACGACATCAGAATGGCTGTATGATTTTTTTGGATTTTAACGAATTAAAACAAAAATAGTCAATGTAAGCCTATGGACATCTCATATCACTGCCACCCTAACATACTATATGTAAGATTTTGAGAAATTGTTATGTGATGGCAATGTCCACAATACTTCAATATGCAGTTATATGATAGAGGATTATGTTATACGAAGATTATTCTTATCCTTGATAAGTCAAAATCGAAAGACTGCTTCGAACAAGCACAAGATCTGGGATGAATCCGTTAAAAAATCATATCAGAATGCATGTGTAATTTTTTCTGGATTTTACACAATTTTTGCATTTTTGTCAAATTTCAAAATTCAAAAACTGTTTGGGCGATTTTGAAAAAAAAATGACCACAGGGATCAGGGTAAGGTCGAAGTAAAAGGATGTGAGTTTCATCAAAATTGGCAAGAAAAATCGAAAAGAAAGAAAAAAAAAAGACGGTCCCTTTAATAGACCACTTCTCCCTAAAGCAAATGGATCTGGACAAAGCAAGAAGAAGGCAAAACACGCAGCTGCAAAGGCTGTCCTGGACATCATCATCCAGGGTGGTGCTGCAGGGGCTGGGGGACCCACTTCAGGCGGAGCTCCTGGAGCTCCACCAGAACTGTAAGTGTCTCTTTACTCATTGCTTCTGTATATATATAATTTGTAATTGCAGTTTCTTTTCTTCTGAGTTTAGCATTACATATGAATTATAAATTCTTTGAATTATTGAGAGCTAGTTTCCAAATGAAGATGCCAATCTTAAGGGGTTGGGCAAATGCTGCAACTGAAAGAACTAATATATCTCATGAGGTTCATATTTGGCATTAAATCATTTTCTAAAGTTAACTTTTTCAGGCATTGAAAAATTAACAGTTGTAGATATTAGCAGGATGAATTTGTAGATTGTATGTAATGTTTTGTGAACACTACTCATTGCAGATCAACCCAGATTGTTTCCCCATATGATGATGGTATCCCAGGGAACCCAGTTGGGTCCTTGCAGGTAAGATGCAACTTTTATGTTAGTTGCAGAATGAATTAAAGTTCTTATATTCTAGGCCTAAAAGACAGAAGTGACATTCATATAATTAGTTAATGCCTAAGTCATTCAAAAAAGGATTATGTAATTCAATTTTGCAGCTGATATACAATTTCTTGAGAATATTCAAGGAATATTGATTGTAGTCTTCTCTCAGTCTATTACTAGACTTGAGTTAGTATTACACCTTTTTGACCTTGTGCATGTGCAGGTCTCATGGCTAGTTGGGCAGAATTATATCATTTTGATGTGAAATCTGGCGGCTGAGGGGAGCCAGCAAAAACTCGGCCAAGAGTGTTCCTATTCTTTGGGTATCTCAGAGTTTTCCAGGGTGCAATTAAAAACTGATGTCTGTGATTCTCATAAAGAAATTATCAATATCTTTAAATATCTATAAAGTCAAAAAGAGTTAGATTTTATATAAACTTCGAGTTAATTATCACAAAATTCATTCTTTATGACCAAAATTATCAGACTGGAGTTAATTTAAATTCTGTAAATCAGTTTTGGTTCTTTTTCCTCAAAAACTTGTACGCCATGAAATACAAAACTACGCACAAAAAAAGTCTTTGTGCTTCATGTTGCTCAAATAGGAAGTACTATGCGCAGTGTTGCTCAAGTGAGAGGCATGTGCGGTTTGGTACGGTGGTCCTTTTCACAGTTGAGATATCATGCCTAGGTACTCGGACACAGGTCAGGTCCTACACGAAGACAAGGCCAGTTGGGCCATGCCTTTTGGCACTATCTGAGAAACCATGCAAGCCAGAATTGTAACATTCTTTGCCTAGAACTTGTTAATTTACTGCAGATAGTAAGGATCTATAGACTGTGACTGTGTCAGAGGTTTGTTAAATATTATACTTTTGTATCTGTAGAAATAAATCCCTGAAGCCAAGGGACTTTTTTCTTTTCTTGGTAATAGTAACATGTAAACAAATTTCAAGAAAACAATGCAACATCAATCTACTGATTGTAATTTTTCTGACTGTTTTTTCCTTTTGCTGTGTCATCTGCTAATCAATAAATGAAAAAAGGAGTTTTCTGCTTAAAATTTGTTCATCCTAAATCTTTAGTTCACTTTGAATATTGTGCACAGTGAGCTACACCTGCACCTCCTGCTCTATTTAGAATATACATGGATGATTCCACTCCCACAGTTTATATATAGGTAAATCATGAATTTATTTTCCCACCAATAGGAGCTGTGCATGGCGCGTCGATGGCCCCCTCCCACATATGAGCTTACCTCAGAGGAGGGCTTCCCTCATGAGCGAACTTTCTCCATTGCATGCACCATTGGTAACACCAGAGAAATTGGTGAGTAAAATTGTTCTAGTGTGATTGCCTTTTGTTTTGTAGTGCAGTTGATTGGAAGAATCTTCACATTTTCAAGATGATGTTAGATTTTACAGCATAATAAAATTGTTTCTTCCCCTTGATTACAGGTACTGGAAAGAGTAAGAAGCTAGCAAAACGGCAAGCGGCTTACAAGATGACACAGCTGCTGAAGGACCAGCCAGTGGAGGCACCTCAAGTCAATGTCTTGGCCGATGACGACGATGAGGTATGAAATACTTTGAGCTCTATCATTTACAATCACTTTGCATGTTGCATGGGACATTGTGATTCGTGGAGTGGGAGTGTGAATGAAAGTGATGTTGAGTTAGCAGTTTTGAAAGTATCTGGTAATATAGCTTGTGGAGGTGGTAGTTAGTTTGTTTATTTTAAGCTTTTAAGAAATGTGACTTTCCTGTGTGTTCTAGTTAACCCAATGATCGCAGATGGCATGATATGCATGTCATGTCCACTGTTTAAGTTTATTGTGTTTACATGTAGATGGCTCCACTAGTACTCAATCCTCAAGGAGTCAAACATTAGTCCTACCTGTCTCATTCCCACCTGTATACCCTTTTCCTTGATTTTCAGAAAGATTAACTGTTATTATTATATTTGTAATAATATAATGACTGTAATATGTATAGTGATAGTAATAGTGTCAGTATTAAAAGTGGGGGGAATCCTACTAATTGAAGGAATTACAAAATTAGACAAGGTCATTAGGGCCCATCAATTAACGCAGTGGCTGAGCTCTTGTGGAGCCATCTGAGTGTGGCAAAATTCACAAAAAGCTACAGTGGACAATACATGTTACCAGTGGGTTAAGCAAGGTAGTCAGTTGATGAGGGGTAGTAGCCGATGCCAGTTAGATATGTATAGGAGTTTGAGAAGTCAGAGAAAAGGGATCAGTTTGGCAAAGAAGATTGATCATAGAATATCAGTTATATTAAAGATTTGAATGAAGACTTACTTTTACACTTGGTTAGAAATGTGGGAACTTCAAATTATTACAAGGTTAGGATCTTTACTGACTTGGCCATCTAGTAATAGATATCTTGATCAGAAAATGGTATTATAAATTGCTTGGCGATTTATTAACCCCTACGATCCGGATGACGTTATGGTCCCTTCACGGAAAAATCTGGGTCGAGGGCCGGGTGACACGAACATGTCGTCATTGGAGAAAATGGCAGTGGGCCTGTGATGCAAACTTGCTGTTAATGAGCAAAGGCCAAGGTGATGGAATAGACTCTCCATAAGTGCTCAAACTTCTTTGAGTGTGATTTGAATCACCTGGTGCTTAGAAGGGGGCTTCAGCATTATTCCCATCAAAACGAATGTGGAATGTAATGTGCGTAAGCTTTGACTGGAAGAGAGCCAGTTCCAAAGAGGACCCCATATCCATGCGGTGCATTGTATTCCTGGCCACTGAGACTGGCAGTGCAGGTTGTATTATGGATCTATCCTCCTCCTCCTCCTCCTCCAGTGTTATTTACTACATAGAGAGATAGTCTATGCAAGGAAAATAAGCTATTACCATCTGAATAAGCAAATCAAAAGACAAATATGGACATTGGAAAATGGCAAAAAGCTAAAAAGAGCTTACACAAAATAACTTTGCAAAGGGGAAGCACAGAGTCTTGTCACTGCTCATTGGTGTTCATGCATGCCCTGCCTATGCACCGCACACCCGGGATGTTGGCTGCTTACGTAACCCACTGCCCTTGTTTTTGGTACCATGATAACTGTGACGGAACTGGATCCAGTGGGTTAATTGCTGCAAGATATCAATAGCATCAGTATCATCATTAATTATTATTATTGCTAGTTTTATCATTATAATAATTATTATTATTATGTTTTTCTATACCAATGACTTACATTCATCATCCACATTTTTATGAAATCAAGGAGAGTTTGATTCTGAGGATTTCACTTTAAAGAAAATTTGTCTTTATGAAATTTATTGCTCCAGTGAATTGAAAAAATAATTCTTTTGGTCTTCATTTTCTTTAGACATTTGAATTCATTCATGAATAAGAGGCCTCTATTGCCAGTTGCTTCCTTGGTTTTCAAACGGTTGTTTCGAAAAAATTATCCCAGAGGGTATAAAGTACTCGAGGAAGTCAAGCTTGTATAATTCTTTTCAAATCGGACTCAGATGATAGGACAAGTATGTAATAAAATAAATAAAGAGTTTCATTTGTTCATTTGAGGCAAATTGGTACTCGCTTGTTTAATATTATGATGTTCACTTTGATTTATTACTGAATACTACTATATTTAATTATTTATTTATTTATTATTTTTATTTATTTATTTTTTATGAGGGTAGAAGTTAGATTCTTTTATATGCTTACTTAATTTTATATATTGTTTGTTGAATAAGTTTACTGCTTACATCCATATATTTATTTCCCTATTTGTGGCTTTTCCTGTGATGGGTAATCTTGTATTCTGGAATGTCAAAAGTGTGTTTGGTAATTGTGAGGAGAAAAAGTATATGTTCGTTTGTCTTTGTCTCTCATCATGATAGGAACAGACATCAGACATTTAGGCTAACATGTTTATCACAATTTGTCAGGTACAGATATGATTTTGAGAATTCTTGGCTCTTTAAAAGGTAATAGTGAGTCCCATTTTTAATTTGCCAGAATTTATTCTTTGGTAGGTTGTAATACTCAGGAAATGAAATCAGTCCAAGAATTTGCCCCTGAAGTACACTGGGCTACTGAACCAAGGTTGCCCTCATGCAAATACAATGAGCTTTGGTGACATCACAGCAGGCAATCAGCTGATGCTGTTGTTATGGCCGACTCTAAAAGAACTTCATCTTAAGCTGCTTAATATTCCTGTGAATGTTTTATGGGCAACAATACAGGTGATTCATCAGGGGATAGGAAAGGTAATGATGTCAATGAGTTCATTGAGACATACAGAAAGAGGGAAGAGTGTGACTGGATAACTGAATAAAATAGATAGGGGACAGAAAGAGAGAAAAAATTATTAGAAAGCTTTAATGAATGATTAAGAGTGAGAGAGAGTAGCTGAATAAATGAATGAGAGGGGGAGAGCACAAAGAATATTGTATAATTTTGCTTAACCCAATGCTGCAGAAATGTGTTTACTGTAGTATTGCCAGGTGAAATGTATTTACACATAGATAGCTCCACAAATGCTCTATGTGCTTTCACCTGATTTTTCCCTTCAATTGATAAAAAAGAAAAAAAAATCTTGTGCTATAATTATTATTATTGACGTTACATTATTATTAACAATACTTGTAGCAATACAGAATAAGATTGGATATTTACAAAAATCAAGGAAGAAGGTTACCAGGTGAGATAGGTCTGGCTTGTCATTGACCCATTGGTGACTAATCACGTGTGGAGCAACAGGTATATAAAACAAGTAATACACTAATTGCACAGTGGGCATGGCATGTGCGTTCATGCAATTCTCAGCTGCATCAGGCTAAGAGAGGAGCTAGGGATGGGCCATAGGAGATGGAGTATTTCTTTTGTGTCATCTAGACTTCCTCAGCTTTTCCAGAAACATTGATTTGTTGCATTTTGGCAACACCTTTAGGGGCTAATGTCGAAACTACTAGGCATATCAGATTCACTTGTTGATTAGATTTATCATATACTCAAAGTAAGATACATTTAATATAAAAAAGAGAATGTGGCCAATAGGTCAGTGTTGGAAATTCATTAACTGAAACATTTTTATAAGATTTTACTTTGTTTATTATTTATTTATCTTTTTTTCTTTTTTTTCTGTTTTCCATCCCATTTTTGCAGCTTCAATATTATCTTTTTTGCCTTTTATGTCTGAGGTACTCCCTCCCATTCTCAGTGCAGGTATCATTTAAAAGGAGTACATTATTGTTTTTAGCTTTTGACAGGAATTGCAGCTGAAAATTGATATAGATTTGATGGCTAGTCCTTCAGGTATACACTTGCATAGGTTTAGCATTTCAAGGTCATAAATGAAAGGGGGGGGGGGGCTAATAATCAGAAAATGTGTGGCATGTTACCCTTATCCTTGCATTCAGCTTATGGTAATGAAAGCATTGCTATGGCAAGCTGAAGAAGCAAATATTTGTGCATATACCCTTGTTTATTCTCTCTATATACATTCATATAATATATATATATATATATATATATATATATATATATATATAATATATATAATTATATATATATATATATATATATAAATATATATATATATATTATATATAAATTATATATATATATATATATATATATATGAATTTGCATTTTTTTTTTTTTTCTTCTTTTTTCTTTATATATAGAGAGGAAAAAAATCAAAGCACATATGCAACCCAGGAAAAAAGTCTGCAAAGATAGATAGGCAGTTGGTTAATTATTTTTAAAAGTAAGAGCAACATATGAGAGAACAGCCAATTGAAAGGACAATCCTGTAAGAATTATGCATATATGACTAAAAGTAACAAAGCTAATGGAAGTGGAAGTAGTGGACATCTGATCAATAGGGGCAAGTGTTGGCACTGCTCATGTTTAGTGATTTTGCACTCCTGTACTAAAACATTTTTGACATCGTTTCTATAATATTATGAAAGGTCCCGTCCCCCATGCCCGCTGTTTTTGGAGATGTTAATTGCATGTGAAGTGGAGGCAGCACAAGAGCCTCAACTTATTTGGCGTTTGTCTCTAAAGGTCTTTGATCCCTTGCTGCACCTATCAAACAATATACAACTTTTGCCTTCAGTCATGGCACTTTGACAGTTTGATAACACTGCAAAGAAATAAAAGTATTTATAAAGTAATAGTAAATGATATTGAAATAAAAGTAGCTTGAAACAGTTTACACTTATTGGTGGTTTCCGACTCTGGGCTTGGGGAGCAACTTGGATGAGAACTAGATTTTGGCATTTTGTACATTTTATCTATCAAAAAGCTAGAAAGAAACTGGCAGTTTTTCTATCAGTAACGTAGTATATTTTAAAGAGCCAAAAAAGAAAAAAGAAGAAAAAAATCGTACACTGGGACATTGGAATTACACTTAGGTAGCAAAGCATTCAGATTTGCCAGAGCTATGTTCTATTCTTCACCTAGCTTAACGTCCATTTCACATGTCATCCCATTTTTCAGCTATATACCCTGACAGAGTCATTATCCATGATTGCAGCAGTTCTAGTAGTCTTCAAGTGTTCACGGAGCTTTTTCTCTGATT